AATTTTAAAAATAGCAAACAGTTATTGCTAAAAATTAATAATAACCTAGGAATTAAATTTAAAATTCGAGTTTCTCACTCAAAAATTTAGTCTAAATAAATTTTTGATGTTTGGAGGCATAACATTTTCTCTCTAAAAATATAACTTTTTAAGAGAAGCACCCGTTTGTCGTCAGACCAATATTATTTTGGCGTGCTTCCAAATTAATTTATTATCCTAATACGTAAAAAAAACATACTAATATGACATTAAAATTGTTTTTTTTACATGCAGGAGAAATTATTAGAAAACTAGCTGACCCGACAGACGTTGTCCTGTCTTAACGATGACTATTTAAATCGAATTGGTATAATTAATAAAAAAATGTGTTTATTATTCTAATGCTTTATGATATACAATATTCTTGGTTTTTTTTCTTGCGAGTATATAAATAGTTTTGTTGGTATTCCGACACGGTAACAGGCGACATATAACTGGCCATGTGAAAAACATGGAAACAATGTCTGAAAGAAGTTAAATTAGAAATAATAATATGATTGTTAAGTATTCTTAAATTTTCTAATTTTCCGCGCAATTATTTAATTTTTTTCTTTCATAAGAACCTTCTCCTGATAATAACAAACACAAAAAAAGAAAAAGTGAGATCGGTCCATCCGTTGACGCGTGATGTCGTGGCCAAAGGGAAATCGAACAGATGAGTCGAATTTTTAAATTCCTCCCGTGGTTTATTCTATTGAATTATCTTTTCCATGTATGTTACGAAACAATCATTAAAAGTCCTCTTGCAATTTATTCTTCGCACTCTTGTAGCAGTTATTTTTTATAATTTACAACAAACATTGAAATGAATTGTTCGCTTTAAGTGTAGAGTACTTATACTTATTAGATTTTTGTATACCCTACCAGCAGCTATAATATTGTATTTACACGATGCCGTCACATATTATACAAACTTAAATTTCGGCTCATAAATACAATTATAATTCCAAGGCGACTTGTTTTACGTTACGTAATAAAGTCTGGCAAATTAAGTTTATGCATCATGGATTTTGAAAGAACTCCTTTCATCAACTGATTTTAAGCACAGGAAAATTGCTGACCCAGAAAATAAAATTATAGCGGCATAAAAGTAAAAATAAATAAAGTTTAAACTGTTTATTTTAAAAGTGGTCATTTCGAAGGTTCAAATTATTCGTAGTCCTGTTCACTGTACGAAATGTTAGAATAACGGTTTGTTATAAAATGTCTTATTGCTTATAACAAAATTTTATAGAATCGAAAAATTACTATAAACTTAGTAAGTTAATAAAACTTTTGTTTCTTTTTTTATGTGAGAAGGTGGCAAGCCATGTTAAGTGGTTCACCTGATGTTAAGCGATAACCGCCGCCCATGGTCATTTGCAACGTTGTGGTCATTCGTAAGGTTGTAGATGCGTTGGTACCTTTTAATAAAGTGGACTCCGACTACCTCACTCACCACATGAAGTATGACACTTCCACTTCATGCCAGTCTTCTGTGAGGTCGTGTTACTTACCCGGAGGGACCTGCCCATTCGTGCAACAGCCGAAGCAGTTGCGTGGCCCTACCTACCTACGTAGTTAAAGTAAAAGTTGTTTGGGCTTTATTGCTTTTAATTTTATAAAAAAAATCTCGACAGTCCCAACAGTGTTATAGTGAAGAACATCTTCATCAACTGGAAAAATATTATAGACTATGACACACACACCGGGGTTGTCTATTTTATACGGGCGTCAGGGAATTGAAACCCATGACCCGGGCAGCGTCTTAGGAGGCACACCGTACCCCTGGGAAATATTTAGCCCGATACGGCCCGGACACTATGATATACGCGTGACTCTAAGTTTTAGGTTATGACCACGCAGCAGCGTCGTTCGAGAATGTACCATGACATTACAGAAGACCGGCGTGAATTTAGAAGTATGTTTTTGCGATTCTTCTAGTTAGCGAAGTAACCGTTGCAATAGTACGCAGCAGCGTAGTATTTGTCTAGTAGTTACAAAAAGTCATTATATTAATTTTTTCGTAACAATGTAGTGTAGTCTCTCAGAGAGCAGCACCACTTTTCAAGGCTGAAATTTAATTTTATTCCGACCTTAGAAGTAGGCATTTAAATACTTTACCTCTAGTTCGCGTTAAAGTTATTTTGGAGTTAACTCGAAAAGTGTAGCTTTATTACAGTAATGAGCGGTGACACTTTATTTTTTTATATATTTTGTTTCGTTTCGCTTAGGGACATTTAAATAATATTTTGATTCGAATTCAATCATCATTATCATCAGCGAGAGGTCCTTCGCCGTTGAACATAATTCACTCACGTACGACCCTTCAATCTTTACATCCAGCAGTCTCCCGCGACTCCTACGATGTCTTCGGTCCACCTAAAGGGAGGTCTTCAAACGCTATGCCTTCCGGTTATTGGTTACCATTCGAGTGCTTTTATTCCCCATCGTTCATCAGTTCTTCCAGCGATGTGACCTCGATTTCAGCTTCATACCAATCGGATTACTATTATTTTACATATTTAGCTTGAGACAAATGAAATTCTTATGTTAATTCGGAAGGTTTTTTCCTGTTATTTCAATAACGGAACTTTTCATTAGTAACATAAAATTTATGTTTTAATTCTTTGATGTTAATTTTAAAAGGTTGTGAATAGAACTTTCAAATGTAAATTAGTTGGATAGAAATGGGGCCAAGCTTAGTTTAGGTTAGTGAAGATTATCCGTTCATTTGATTATCTATCATGCACAGCTATATTTAAAATTAAATAAAAGTTATGGAATAATGAAGTAGATAGAATATTCCAGGTTGAAATGATGACGATGATTTTATAGGTTAAAAGTAAATTGACTGATACTCGAGAGGTATTGAAAACAGTTCCAAATTTTCAACAGATCTATCGGGCCACCAAAAATTTATTATTCTTGTGGAGCACGCGCGGAGAGCAGGCGGCGTGCCGTTTGGCTGCGACCCAACTACCTGGATCAATCAAACTCAAACCCCGCTCGATTTCAATACGTAACACATGGCGCGTGCTCTATGAAATTGTCTGATATCTATGAATAACATATGACACACTTAACTAACGCATTAATTGTTTTTCTCTACCTTACACCATATCGGTGAAACATTCCTGAAGTAATTGTTCCAAACAACTACGTTTTGTACACCGACAACTAGGCTTTACACGATACTCACACGCAATCGAAAGTTATGGTTTAAAGCATTTAATGAATGTTGTAAATTATAAAGTCATTATCGGTTTTCTGGAAAGTAAACAGACATATAAAATCACATTCCCAATTACATTTTCAACTATTTAATAGTGTTCAGTCATTGTTTTCTTAACACCACGTGTTTAAACTATCTAAGACTTGATAAAGAATAGTCTGTTAAAATTCAAAATATAACTCAATTTTGTTCCAATTCTTTCGAAAAAAGAAAGTTCCAATTCAAATCAAAATTCATAGATATGTTTTTTTTCGGTACACCAGATTATATCCTTTAATACTGTTTTTTGTTAGTATATCATGGAAGTATGATATACTAACAAGAACATTGAGAAGTTATATATGCATATATTGCAAAGTGTAAGTGTATCGATATTAATCGTACCTCTCCAGTTTAATTGGATAGTCTCTCTGCATTTTCCCTTTGGCAAAGAACTCTGCTACCCCAGAAAGAATTTCATCTGTGACTGGGGGACATTTAAATTCCGCTGTCACGGATTTGATGATATAGATTGCGTGCATTTTTTCAATAAATTGTTAGTCTATCTATATGAAATTAAATCAGATTTAACGGTAGTAGGGCAACGCAGCAGCCTCGGCTGTTAAACGAATGGGCAGGGTAGTCCGGGTAAGTACCACGACCTCACAGAAGAGTACAGAAGAGACCGGCGTAAAGTGGAAGTATAATACTTTCGCGTTTCGTCTGGTGAGTGAGGTGGCCGGAGCCCACTTTATTAAAAGGTAGCAACGCATCTACAACCTTACGGGTGTTGCAAATGACCATGGGCGGTGGTTATCACTTAACATCAGGTGAACCACTTAACATGACTTGCCACCTTCTCACATAAAAAAAGAAACAAAAGTTTTATTAACTTACTAAGTTTATAGTAATTTTTCGATTCTATAAAATTTCGATATAAGCAATATTTTATAACAAACCGTTATTCTAGCATTTCGTACAGTGAACAAGACTACGAATAATTTCAAAGGTTGTCAACGCATCTGCAACCCTCGGGTGAAGCGAATGTCCATGGGCGGCGGTATTCACTTAACATCAGGTGAACCGTCTGCTCTCTTGGCAACTTTTCACTTTAAAAATGATCAAAAACGGATCTTGTATAAATGCTAACATCTGTTTTAAAATTATCTATGTTTATCAAACATAATATTAACGAATATGAATAAACTAATCAAGTATGTGTAGTAAGTGAAGTATTTAAGAAAGATGCAGCTTCCATGTCATAAATCTGAAAATAAGTTACGAAAGCAATAGCACATATTTATAAATAGGACAAGGGCGCTTCATTACATTAAAATTTAACTGGAAATAATGAACTACAGCTCACGCCGTTAATTGTGCAAACATAGGGGCTAATGACACGGTAAACTGAGGAATACATACTTCCTTGTTCCGCCTCTTCGTTTCCGATTGTAATTAGCGAATGAATACTAGAGCCCGGAAATTTAACTAATCTATTTGAACTATACAAAACGCATGTTCTTTTAAAGGTATAGGTAAATGAATTATTTCAGTTAAAAATGTTATGCCGTTGTCGATTGTGTGTGTCATACAGATCCTACTCAAGGCTTGAAACACGATAAAGGGTTTTTATGACTTTAATGGTTTATAATTATTGTTATAGTGGAGTTTAATGAGAATATAAGAGTAAATGGAATTTTAAAATTAAATAACAACCTGTAAACATCCCGCTGCATATAAATAGTTATTTTGGTTTACATTGTCGCAGTATACTTTTCGCGGACATCGTTGGCTTCACTGTGCTCGCATCGCAGTGCAGTGCCCAGGAATTGGTGCGTCTTCTCAACGAGCTTTTTGGGCGATTCGACCAGCTAGCTAATGTAAGTTCTCTTCTGATGTTTTGATTGCCATTAATTAAATCTAGCAATCATTTTTTCCTTTTTTTTATTTATCATTTGTATCCTATTTTCATTTCAGTGGCAATGACAATTGCAATCTTTGAAGAGGTTTTGAAATTATGTTATGTTGCTATGGCTAGGATAATCACTGCCTCCGCATCAAAATCCTGGGCGATTGCTACTACTGCGTGTCGGGGCTGCCCGAGCCGCGCTCCGACCACGCGCGCTGCACCGTCGAGATGGGGCTGGACATGATCGACGCCATCGCGTGAGTCCTTAATTTTTTCTACATATTCCTGATAATCTCCTAGTTTTTCGTGGTTAATAATTTATTACAACAGTAAGTGGGAGCTTAGTATCCGGGTCCTCGCAACACTTAATTGCTAATAGCAAAGAGTAATTATTAAATGTTGATTTACCACGCGATCAAAGATATAGGAAAATGTCGTGGGCAAAGTTGTCTAAGAAATAAAAATGGTATAACATTAGAATATTTTTTTTTACATGTTCCTCATTCTCCTTCAATAATGGCACCGCGGCACTACGCAAAGGGTTGGGCCGTATTAACTCGTGGCCTCCTGGCTATCGCACGAGTTTTTCGTTCGAGTATAATTTCATATCATAGCCTACGAAACTTCGAAACTTCAAAACTCGCTATTTCGAAATCGAGAACCATCTTTTTAGTCGCAGACTTGTGTAGCTGTAGAGCTTAGGGTCACTTTATAGTTGTAAAGAGATTCGAAAGAACTGTAAATTTGATGAGTCATAAACCAAAAATGTGACAGCGCTATGATTTATCTACTAATGTTATTAAACTCTGTCTATAGAAACATTAATTTCTCCAGAAATCTTCCTCCCACCTGATGAAAGCATACAAAAAGGTTTTTTGAAATCTTATCGATTAGGGATGTATAAAAAAGTTAATCATATTTGTCTCAAATTTCGTTGTCATTGCGTGCATGTTTTGATACGTTAACCTTACCTTGAGAATTCAACCTTCTGCGGGTAGTCGACATCTTTTTATTTTCACAACAAAATAAGAAAATTACTTCAATACCTTTATTGACTGTTTGTGGTACATATGCATAGACATATGGATAACTTCATCGCCTAAAGTATTTAGTTATTTTATATACAGGGTGGCTTTTCTAAAGGTTATACTCGGTAGTATAATCGTTTAATGAAATAAAAACAAACTGTTTTTTTTTTTTTTCAAAAAATTGCCATTCCATTCCGTAAAAACCAGAACTTGTTGACAATGCCGTAGTCATATATAAATACGTCGTATACTTTTGAAACGAACTTTTATGCTTGTTAGTTATGAATGATCGCGCGTAAAATAAATGTGTTGCCCATAAATTACGCACTTTTCGAGATAAGTTCAAATGAATGTATTTAATTAATTACGAGTGATTTTAAATATTTATCATTTTTATATAACATTATTTATGTCTACAATTTAATAATAAAATGGATACACTTAAAAAAGCCTACCTGTATAAAGTATTATATAAAAAACTTTAAAGCTTACGAAACCTACGTTCTACGTTATTTTATTAATAAAATATATAACCTTTTCTTATATACTTGTTAATCGGTATAATATCAGGTTTGTGTATGCTGTATGTAATCCAAAAGCTAAATTACGTAACAATTAAAGTATAATATAAAAGTTTTATAGAATGCCAGGCCCAAAACGATGTTTAAATCACTGGTTGAAAACGTAATACAACATAAGGGAATGTTTTAGTACTAAAACATTTGCGTACACGACGCGATGACATGCGGGGCGTGCATCGGAGCGCGTCTCGATACGAGCTTATCAGCATGTTGGCAGCGAAAAGGCCCCGTTAAATAATTTCATTGTCACGACTATGTGCAACCCTGATATACTAGAAGGCCCCAGGGTTGCCAACTAGCGTCCAAATAGTTTTTACGGAGAGTAGATAATATAATTTCAAACGTGTACATATGGTAGGGCCAGGAAACTGCTTCTGCAGTTGCTCGAATGGACAGGCCGCGGCAGGAAATGTCACGGCCTCAAAAAAGACTTTCGTGAAGTGCAAGTATTATACTTACGCGTTTTGTCTGGTGAGTGAGGTAACCGGAGCCCACTGCTGTTAAGGTTTTGCAAATCCTCAGGTCTTGTAGATGTCCATAAGTAGCGACAATCAAAGGTGAACCGCCTACTCGCTAAACAACTTTTCGCATAAAAAAAATCTGTTTGTTCAATCCTCACAACAAGAGCCGAATTTAATTGGAAAACTATCACATTCGGAATGGTGATACACTAAATTTAGAATTATCGGATAGAATACTAAATATGACATGGAGATTAATATTTCGGATAACATTTGAGGCAAAAAAAAAATTGTTTTGGCCACTACTGTGAGCGTTAAGCCGTACCCTGAGCGAAGATGTGTAACATTTTCTTTTTCAGAAAAAGAAAATAATAGTAATCATAAAAACAAAAAAAGTCATTGACTTAAATAAGAGACCCGCGTTCCGAAATTCCGAATTGAGTAGAGATTATATATTTTTGTAATTTTGGAATGTTACGTGTATTTCGTGATCGAGGCGAATCTTTGGCGAAATACAGTAAGTCTTTAGATTTGCGATAAACTAGCGATTAAAACTGTCCCCTTTATTAAGCATCTGTACTGGAATTTTTATTATCAATTATTAATCTTGCTTTGTATGACTTCGATTTCTTATGGACCACAACGCCTGTTAATATTGATTATTTATGGACCCATTGTATTTTTTATGATTAATAATCGGCCTAGTTTTTCCTGGTTAATAATTTATTACAAAATAATATTAATGGTGGAACACTTTTAATTGCTAATAGCAATTAGTAATTCTTAAATGTTGATTTACCACGCGATCGTATGTAAAGTAAAATGTCGTCGGCAAGCTTAACTAAGAAATAATTATGGTATAAGGTATAACTATAGAATAATAACATAATAGGATAGGAATATGAATGGATATGGATGCGTATATAGCTGCTGCGTAGCAGCTTCTACTGTTGCATAAATAGGCAGCCTCATCCGGGGAAGTACCACGGCCTCACAGAAGAACGGCGTGAAGTGATCATATTATACTTTTGCGTTTAATTCGGTGAGTTAGGTAATCGGAAAGCCAACTTTTAAGATTGTCAACGCACCTTCAAATCCTCAGGTGTTGCAGATGTCCATGGGTGGCGGTGATCACTGAGCAAGAGTTGAAGCGCCTGCTCGCTTGTAAACTTTTAATATTACGAAAAGGCGGTGTGGTGTTTTGGATATATGCTGTTATTTCATATTGCACAGTTAAAATAATTAAATCGGTACAAAATATATTACTGGCTGTAAAGCAAACAACGGTAGGCAATCAACACTTAAGACGAGACCGCAAACCGCAAACCACAAGACAGCAATATCTGTACGCCACCAACACACGGATGATGTTTCCTGCATGTTTGTGGAATTATTATAAGATAGATAAAAAAGCGCTTTGGTACGAGTAAGAATTTTCGAGTAAAGAGCGTATTGTAATGGAAATTCTTACAACACATACCTAGAATCCGATTATAATAATTCACTGTATGTAGATTTAAGATATTTCATTTAACTTTAAATGTCTAATGTTAATTTAAAAACTATTGTTTACAATATCAGTCATACATACATATATTCGAATTTTATTTTCCGTTACTCGCATTATTATCTTGTCAGCGAAAATTGTAAAATTGTGAAATTTTTTAACAAATTCCTAGATATAAATAATAATAGTAGATAAAAGCAGTCGCACATTAGTTCAATCAATCGTAGTGTAGATCATGCTACAAACGTATACATCATATAACCATAGGTAGATTAATTGAGGTTGATTTATAATTAGCTACAGCGGTTTCGGGTGCGCGACTATAAATCTGTCAGTCATTCAACTAACACGACAACATCCCGTGCACCCAAATGGAACCATATAAAAATGCATTATTATGAATTCTCGGTTCTTTTTTCAATGAAGATGACCGTCTATTTCTGTTTTAAATGTGTTACGTTTCTCTTAAAATCTTTGAAAGATAATATTTAAAACAAATGTGCAGTCCAGTGCAACAAAAACCTTCCGACAAATATATACGATGATTAATGTTTTGTGAAAATGTTCGAACGTTGGTTTTAATAAGTAAACGTGTTAAACAAATATCGATAATAAACACCTACAAATCATTTATTCGCGTGTTCTTCAGAAATAATTGTATTAAGCTGTAATAAATTCTCATAACTGCTATCCGGTGCCAAACTGATCGCCAAATACATAATTAAACGTCTGTGTTGCAAAGATTTATTACAATAGGAGTACAATTTTTTTAATCATTGTCTCTTAAAGCAAGATGTTCCAAAACATATTTTTTGGTAATGAAATTTTTATTTTACTTCATGAGTGTATCAATTATTTTATTAATAAAATTCAAGCATTTTTATTCATAACACTACATACGTTCTTCGATAGGTATACTCTATACGGTATACCCCAGTATTCAGTAATTTACGCACATACATATCAACTTCCAAACATGTAAAATTATCCTACTATGTGAGTTAAAAGCTTATATTACCAAGTTTGATTCCTAACAATGTTATTAGGAATGTTCTACAGGCAAAGTTTACTCGCGAGACGGAATTAAATCCGCCAGTCTCTTCTTTGTTAAACAATTAGTTGCTGCATGCTGCATTAACTTATTAACAATTCACAATTGCCTTTGGCAACTATCATAATACGTCTCTTCAACTTACAAAAGGAATAAATATCATTCAGTTTGTCTTGTTTGCACCTTAATCATGTGGTAACGTATTTAGCATGGTTTAAGAGTCAAAAATATGTTGAATAATTTTTCAAAAAAGAACAGTTTCTTACCTCAACAAGTGAATTGTTTTAATGAAGTGAGAATTACTGATCCAATATTCACGACGTGTTTAATATTTTTTTGCTAATTAGCAATAATTATGACATTTAAGAAAGAAACTATTAAACTAACCGTGTAACGTGATAATTTCTTAGATTTACGCGAATACACATTAGTAAATGAAACTATTTTTACAGATTTATCGCGTTAATTTTAATACCCGACGTTTCAAACTCTTTACAGTCTATCCCGTGACCATGAACATTATAAAGAGTTCGAAACGTCAGGAATTAAGTTTAAAAATAAACGCGATAAATCTGTAAAAATAGTTTTAATTGAGTAATCCATGTAACAGTCGCTCCGCTTTCCAGTTT